GGTCGTCGTGGTGGTGGTGGTGGTCGTCGTCGGCTTCGTCGCCGGCGTCGGCGTCATCGTCGTCGTCGGCGTCGGCGTTGTCGTCGTTGTCGTCGTCGTCGTCGTCGACGACAGCGCGTACAGCGGTCCTACAAAACCCCCCCCGACGTCGTCGTCGTCGTTGTCGTCGTCGTCGTCGGGGCATTCGCAGTGCGTCGTCGTGGTCGTCGTGGTGGTCGTCGGCGTTGGCGTCGGCGTCGTCGTCGTCGTCGATTACCGCCCCCCCATGGAGCATTTGCAGTACGTCGTCGCGTGCCGTCGCAGTAGGCGTCGCCGTCATCGCCGTCGTCGTCGTCGTCTTGGTCGTCGTCGTAAAACATGCTGTAGTGGAGCGGGTGGGGGAAGGCTGGAAAGGAGAAGGTGGAGACTCTTTATCCTGCCTCGGCCGCTCATCCCCCCCCGTCCCGTTTTGGTTTGCAACCATGCCGGCACCGCCCGCCAGCTGAGGCGCCTCTTCCCCGCGCCTCCTCTTTCTCTGCTGTCTGTAGCCATTTCGGCTCAAACGCCCCGCTATACCGGAGGCGCTACTGTCCCCCTTCGCTGCAGCGGCGCCGCTTGCGTCGCGCCTGTCGCCCTCGCGCTGACGGCCGGGCGTCGGCGCTAATCACAGGGGCCGCCGCCGTGCCATTTGGCGGCCGTCACCCACCCCCGCGATTCGCCCGAGCAGGGGAATTATTTGTTGCCAGCGCGCGCGACACCACCTGTGCGCAATTGGTGCTTTTCGTTTCTTTCCCAAGGTCAAATTCTGCACGGCGAGAATCGGGTTCTAGGCTTAATTAGCGGGTGCACGGGACGTGGATGCTCACAGAAGAAAAACACGCGATCACGCAAGGGGGAGCGTTCTTACCAGGATGCTCACCCGGAACGGCTCTGGCTCGGGGCCGGCGTTCTTAGTTTTGCCAGCGTTGCCGCCAGGAGTACATTCCGAGCGTTCTGGCTCGCTTGTTGCGCAGTTCACTGGGCCAGCGCCGCAGCGGGAGGCGCTGCCCGAACGTGCTGTTTCGCGGCCAGCGCAAATCGTTGTGCTGCCCGCGCGGTCGTTCGGGAGCTCATCCCCAGTGCTCGCCCCCAGTCCATTGCGCCCGTTGCGCCCCCAGCGTTGTAGCCAACGCGTTTGCCATTACAGTGGAAACCCGCGCCAATGCAAAAACAAACATCGCTTGCCTTCAAGGTGTCCTGGGTTTCTTGGGTTTCGATGGTTTCGCAATTGAAAGCGTGGCGCCCCCACCACAAATCCATGGGCGGCCTCGGGTCTCAGGGTTGGATTTCTTGTGGGAGGTTCTTTATGATCGAACTCTTACTGTATGCTCACTGTGGGCGTGCCAGAGCGCGGCCAGCCCACATCGTACTTCCAGCCCTGCTGGCAGGAAACACACTTCAAGCGTCGTGGCCAAGCTGAGTGGCGCGCATCGCGCTGCCAGCGTTGGCGGCAGGGAGATCAGTCCGAGTGTGCCGGCCCGTTTCTTGTGCAGTTTGCGCTGCCAGCGTTCATCATTGGTGGCCACGCTTGTGTTAGGAAACTCATTGAGAGCGTGCCGATTGGTGACGGGTGTGCATTCCGCGATGCTGGCGTCGTTGGCGGCGCTGTTGCTGGGAAGCGCCAGCCGAGCGTGCCAAGTCGCTTCTGGCGCACCTCGCTTTGCCCACGCTTGCGGGCAAGGTCTACATCGATATCCAGTGCGTCTCGGGTGTTCGGACTCCTTTCCAGAAAACGCCCGAGACGCGATGGATATGAACAGAAATGCGACCTCTGGGGAGGTTGGTTGTTTGTCCGTGTCTACCGCGCCTCGGGGTTTTGGCACTCCCTCCCCATGTAATTCAGATGCCGTGGACAAGGATATGTATCGTGCCCGTGACGTTGATGGCGGAAATGGGATAAGGACAAATTGTATGAACAGAAACTTTTTGATAGATTTCTCGGGTCGGCGAGGGGCCCTCCTTGGCGGCGCCCCCGGGGCCGCCCCTGGAGCGCTCCGCGCGCCAGGGGAGGGGTCCAGCCCAGATCCAAAAAGTCCGCGCGGAGCTCCACAAGTGCAAGCTTATGTAGTGTTGTGTTTTTTTTTCTAGGTAACACTCAGACCGAACAGTATCATGCTCTTTCTGCCGGTGGCCGAACAGCCCTTTTGCAGCTTCGTTTCTCGGGGGATCGTTTGTTGTTCTTGCCGTCGTAGATTCTGATGTGCAGCTGAGCTCTCGCACTGGAACTATGCGCAGGCAATGTGTGGCACTTTGCTGTGTACATGTAAGTAATGTTTGCGCGGCTATCACACGGGGATTTTGAAGGTACACCGATTCGTATCAAAGCATACTTTAGAGGTGACGGCCATGTTGGGAACGAAGAGAAACACTGTATGAATAGGACGATCATGTTGAAAGGGGAGGGAAGAGGGACAACAGAGGGCCCAGGAAAGGTAGTGGAAGCGTGGAGGCCGAAACTACGAGGATAGGGCAGCAGGGGTCGAGAAGATGAAGGAGGAGAGGAACAGGCAGGGTTCGCCAAGAGGAGCGAGGGGGGGCGGGGGGGGGACAGAAGCAGCAGGGGCGAGGTGCAGGAGGGGTCCTCCTGTGAAGGCACATGGAGGGCGCCAGAGGAAGTGGGAGCTCCCGGCGCAGGGCACGGCGGCGCCGCCCCCCCCCCTCCCCGCGGCACGTCGCTCGCGGCCGCGGCGAGCCCGCAGAGGCCACGCCGCGCAGCGTAACCGCCGCCGCAGCGCCACGGCGGGGGGGGGGCGGGAGCCGCCCCTCCCTCAGGAGGAGGAGGAGGAGGAGGAGGAGGAGGAGGAGGAAGAGGAGGAGGTGGAGGAGGAGGAGGAGGAGGAGGAGGAGGAGGGAGGAGGAGGAGCAGGAAGGAGGAGGGCGGCCCGGAGCCGTCCCTCCCTCGGGCAGCACGGGGCGGGGCCGCTTCCGGCGGCAGCCTGCGCGAGGGCCGGGCCCGCGGCCAAGCGCGGGGAGGCCGCACGGGCCTCGGGGGAAGACACGGCCGCACGAGCACTGTCCTCTCGGTGATCGTCTTCGGACTCCTTGCTTTCCTCTTGGCTATCCTCTTGGCTAATCCTCTTGGCTATCCTCTTGGCCATCTTCTGATTCCTTGCTTTCCTCTTGGCTATTCCTCTTGCACGAGCACTATCCTCTTGACTATCCCCTCGGCGAGCTGCGCGGCTCGCACCCCCATCCCCCCCCCCGCCCCTGGAGCAGATCCTGGCTGTTTCTGGTGGCGCCGGTTTCAGCGGGTGGAGTTTCCCCAATGGGACGCACGGTTGCAAACAGTCGCGCCAAGCAGAGGTCCGGAGCCAGACCCCCTCCCCCCCCCCCCTCCACACTGTTGTTCCATGTCGAAACGTCTTAAGAGAACGCTCACTTGGAACACCACGCGCGGATCCCTCGGATCGGCGCTGGGGCCCCCCTCGGGGGGCGCCTCCGGCGCCGCCAGGGGGGGTCCAGCGCAGATCCAAGAATGCCGCGCGGAGCACCGAGAGGTTATGTTGATGCAGTTTCTTATGTGTGCATTGGCCGTAGAGGCTCGACGATCCGCAGGCCACGGCGGTGCTGTCGAACTCGGGAAGGGCGGTGAGGGTCTCTCAAGCGGCAACCTGCGTGCCAGGTCAGGTCGGCGGCCAGCGCGGGGAGAGGTCGCAGGGACGGTGACGACGCTGGCCGCAGGCCACGGCGGCGCCGTCGCTCTCAAACAGCGCGAAGTGACCCCCTGCAGCCAGCGGCAGCCTGCGTGTAGTGTTGAGTTGGGCTTGTCCCTCTACAGAAGGAGAAACGCAAGAGTAGTACAAATAGTCTGGGGACGATTGTCCTATTATTGTTTGACTATGTTTGAGGGTTTGGCTATTTTGCATGTCTCCTCCAAAAATCCGCCCATAAGAGGACATGACCGACCTAAGTGTAATTCTCGTCCGCCACCAGCGCAGGGAGGTCGCACTCCATCATAATCACCGTCGCCGCAAGGCCACGGCGGTGCCGTCGCTCCTGAGCAGCGCAGAGCGTCCCCCTCCAACCAGCGGCAGCCTGCGTGTAGGTCGCGTCCGCGACCAACTTGGCCGTCGGGACACGGGTCCTGAGGGAAACGGGTCCTGGGCCCTGGGGCCTTCCGCCAGGACGAGCTCTTCCTATCCTGAGTCGTCTTCTGACGGTCCCGGGGCCCGTGGAGAGCCAGAGCTCGAGAACGGAGAAGAACCTCAGGGCCCGTGTCCCTCAGGACCCGCTTCCTCTTCTCCAGCCTCCTTCTCCTCCTCCTTCTCCTCCTCCTCCTCCTCCTCCTCCTCCTCCTCCTCCTCCTCCTCCACCCCTCCTCCTCCCCCTCCCCCCTCCTCCCCCATGGCGACCAGCGCGGGGAGGTCGCACGGAACCAGAACCACCACCGCCGCAGGCCACAGCCGTGCCGTCGCTGCCGCGCAGGTGCAGGGCGCCCTGGGGTCGCGGCGAGGCGCGGGGAGTCCTCGGGCTCGAGCCCGGAGGGGTCGAGGGCGGCAGCCGGCCCGGGGAAGCCCCGGTGGCTCACGGAAGTGCCGCCAGGTGCGCGGTTGGCAACGCCCATCTGGACGCCCGAAATGGGTACGGAAAGAATGGGCACGATGCCCAACAGCAGTTCCTGTCCATTTTGCACAGGACTCGCTGTCCACGCCGCCGCGGCCTGTGTCCATTCGAGGCAGAAGGCCGCCTGCCCAACAGCGGTCGCTGTTGGTTCGGGACAACGTTTGATGTTGGGCATAGTACCCATTATTTCCGTACCCATTTCGGGCGTCCAAAGCCCAGGGGGCGCGGGGTCTCGTGCTGATCCGCGGCCGCGGAGGACCCCACGCCGATGCAACTCCCGGGTGCCTGCGAGAGCGGCAGCGGCTGCGCAGCTGGCAGCACACGAGGCAGGGTCGCCCTCGCGGTCTCTCCCGCAGCGCGCACCGGCCAGGGCCTCGCGTCGGCTCCGGCCCGCTCCCACCCCGTATGCTCTCGCCTGGCAGGAGGGCCTCCGGCAAGATCTTGAAGTACGACAAGAGCAAGGGGTTCGGCTTCATCCAGAACGCGGAGTTCGAGAACATCTTCTTCCTCCGCAGCGGCCCGCGGAGCGAGGAGGGGGGAGGGGAAGGAGGAGGAGGAGGAGGAGGAGGAGGAGGAGGAGGGGGAGGAGGGGGAGGAGGGGTATGGCGGGAGGAGGTGACAGAGGCTGAGGAGGAGGACAACGAAGACGAGCTGGCGTGGGTTAGAGGGAAGAGGGAGGAAGAGTCAGCAGGGAAGGAGGACGGAGGAGCAGGATGAGGAGAGTCTGAAGGAGGGAGACTGGAACTTGGAGGAGCAAGCGACGTTTGATGATGAGGATGAGGATGAGGAGGAGGAGGAGGAGGAGGAGGAGGAGGAAAAGAAACAGCCTAGATGCTCTCGTGTATGGCCAACGTCAAAGAAGGAGAGAACGTGGAGGACGACGGGGACGAAAGGGAACGAGGACGAGGGACGAGGGGGCGATGTGCCAGGGGAGCGCGCAGGACAATCGGGTGGGGTGCTGCAGGGAGGGAGGGACGGCGAGGTCGAGGCAGAGCGCGAGAATCGAATCCTCCTCCTCCTCCTCCTCCTCCTCCTCCTCCTCCTCCACGTCATAGAAACGCTTCGAGGTCCGCCCGGACCTCCCGGACCAGCGGTGGGCCACTTGGCACGGCCCTTGCGCCCCATGGGGGAGGGCTCCAGCGCCGACCTGGGTCGCGCGGACCTCCGAGGGTGTCTGTTCATGCCGGTTCTCTTTGCATCGCTGGGACGTGTGCGTTTTTCTTTCGGCGAGGACCATCGAGGAGAATCCTTGACCATTTGGCGAACAAAACACGCACGAAACCGAAAAAAACACAGGGAATGGACGTCCGAGCGATGGCGAGCTCTTGTTTCTGAAGAGAACAATGATCAGACGTGGACGGAACCCTCGAGAGGGCGCCGCGGCCGTCATTTTCCAGGCTTGCGCCTGCCAGGTTTGGGCCCAAGGTCGTTTTCACGAAACTGCGTTTTGCGAAGGGGGGTTCTGTCCATCCCCGAGATGACGGTATAGTATCACGGGAGCCTCACAAACAGGCCAGCGGGTGCTAGGAATGTTTGCAGCTGAGCAGCCAGGCCACTCGCACTGGTGCGCATATCACCCTGCTAGGCGCACGCCGCGGTCTGGGCCAGAGTCGCCCCTCTCCAGGGGAGGCGATGCGAGAGAAGCTAATCGCCCTCCGCGCCTCGCAGAGCGCGACATCAGGCGAGGAACGGTCAGCACACCTGGCGGGCGACGCAGCAACACTGGGCCGCCTGCGCCGACGTTGGCGCGCAAGATGCCCGCGCAAGGTCGCGCGCAAGCGCCCTCGCTTCAAGTGTGGTGTGCCGCGCTGGCGGCCCGCGTAAACCGCCGCGCAAGGTCGCTGTGCCATCTCGCGCAAGACTGGTTTTCGATCGTCGCTCGGGTTTGAGTCTTGATTCTGCTGCACTGAGAGCGTAGGAAGGGGGGGGGTCCTCGGAGGTAGTTTTTGTCTGCCCCTTCAGGCTCACGGGAGCCTCTGGAGACCTGCTTGGGCTTCCCCAGGGCATACACACATGCATGCATACATACATACATGCATGCATGCATGTGTGTATGCATCCAGACAGATAGACAGACAGACAGACAGACAGACAGACAGACATGCATACAAAATCTTGCCAAATCCCCCAGGACGCCCCCAGGAACCATGTTTTCCTCCTCCTCCTCCTCCTCCTCCTCCTGCTCCGCGGCTCTGGCGGTGGGAATGCTAGGTTGACAGGTGTTTCAAAGATCCCGAGTGGCAAACAACGGCTCCGAGCAAGGCGTCTTGGCACGAATGCCCTGATTCTTTCGTCTGGTTGCACAGTGAGGGCGCGCATTGACATTTGCCAATTTCTGAAAGCGACGGGACAGCTTGATAATGCGAGTAGCTGGTCGGCGCCGCCTCTGGGCAGGAACTGTCTCGAACCGAACCGAATCGAACCTCTTCCCCTGTCAGGCCCGATTCCGATCCGATTCGATTTCGACGCACCCCAACAGATTTCGACTCCAGTCCGAATCATTTTTTTCTGTTTTGCGATTTCGACTCAGATACGCTGCGCGGAACCGATCCAGCGTCCCCGATTCATATCGATTCCAGCTCTGATTCAGACGCTTCCTGCCAGAAAGAAACGTGGGAGGCAGGAGGCTTTTGAGGGGCTGGGGAGGAGAAGACAGGAGGTGGGTGAGAGGGGATGTGGGTGCAGGAGGACAGGACTGCGTAAAGGAGAAGTGAAGCGTGGGAAGGACAGAGTTTGGCGAGGATCGGGGCCCGGGACCGCGAGGCTGGCAGACGGAACTGGATTGCGATTTGGTCGGGCAGCCTCCCAGCTCCAGCAGGCTTGGCATCGCTCGGACGTGTGCATGTTTCTTTCGGCGAGGACCATCGAGGAGCATCCTGGATCATTTCGCGAAAAAGCCACGCACTAAACCGAATTACCCTGTGACGTACCGAACCCATTTGTATCATGGGAAACGAGGAGTTGGCCGAAATTTGCACGGACAATCAAATTGAAGGATCCGTTGTTTGATATGTAAGCTACTTGGGACACGCGCCAATGGAATGATGCGCAGGAGAACCATACAAGAACGAGAGGCGACAACTACAGGCTCGAAGAGGACATGGGGAGTCGGGAACGAAGAGCAGGAGAAAAACGTGCGGGAAGCCCACTGTGCTGGGCCCCCCAGCAGGCCTCGAAAGTGGCGACAGTTTCACAGATCGCAGGGCACCAGGGATGGCGAGGTCCCATTTGAATCCGCGGTGGGTGCCCACTGTGCTGGGCCCCCAGCAGGCCTCGAAAATGGCGACAGTTTCACAGATCGCAGCCCCCCAGGGATGGCGAGGTCCCATTTGAATCCGCCGCGGGTGCCCACTGTGCTGGGCCCCCCAGCAGCTTCGAAAGTGACGACAGTTTCACAGATCGCAGCCCCCCAGGGATGGCGAGGTCCCATTTGAATCCGCGGTGGGTGCCCACTGTGATGGGCCCCATCAGCAGGCCTCGAAAGTGGCGACAGTTTCACAGAACGCAGCCCCCAGCCGCGGTGGGTACCCACTGTGCTGGGCCCCTCAGCAGGCCTCGAAAGTGGCAACGGTTTCACAGATCGCAGCCCCCCCAAGGATGGCGAGGTCACATTTGAATCAGCCGCGGGTGCACACTGTGCTGGGCCCCCCAGCAGGCTTCGAAAGTGGCGACAGTTTCACAGATCGCAGCCCCCCAGGGATGGCGAGGTCCCATTTGAGACCGCCGCGGGTGCCCACCGTGCTGGGCCCCCCAGCAGCCCTCGAAAGTGGCGACAGTTTCACAGATCGCGGCCCCCAGCAACCCTCGAAACGCAGCGACGAGCCAGGTAAAAGGCTGGGGGGAAGAGAGGGGCGGGATTCGCGCGAGCAGTGCTCTGTTCAAAACGAGAACCCAACGCAGGAGGGTTGGGAATTACCCTGTGACGCACCCAACCCATGTGTACCATGGGAAACGAAGAGTTGGCCGAAACTTGCAAGGACAATCGAATTGCAGGATCCGCTGTTTGATATGTAAGCTACTTGGGACAAGCAAAGCAGCCCTCGAAAGTTGCGACAATTTCACAAATCGCAGCCCCCAGCAGCCCTCGAAACGCAGCGACGAGCGAGGTAAGAAAGTGGCGACAGTTTCAGATCGCAGCCTCCCAGGGATGGCGAGGTCCCATTTGAATCCTCGGTGGGTACCCACTGTGCTGGGCCCCCCAGCAGGCCTCGAAAGTGGCGACAGTTTCACAGATCGCAGCCCCCCAGGGATGGCGAGGTCCCATTTGAATCCGCCGTGGGTGCCCACTGTGCTGGGCCCCCCAGCAGGCCTCGAAAGTGGCGACAGTTTCACAGATCGCAGCCCCCCAGGGATGGCGAGGTCCCATTTGAATCCGCCGTGGGTGCACACTGTGTTGGGCCCCCAGCAGGCCTCCAAAGGCGACAGTTTTACAAATCGCAACCCCCCAGGGATGGCGAGGTCACATTTGAATCCGCCGCGGTGCGCACTGTGCTGGGCCCCCAGCAGGCTTCGAGAGTGGCGACAGTTTCACAGATCGCAGCCCCCAGGGATGGCGAGGTCCCATTTGAATCCGCCGTGGGTGCACACTGTGCTGGGCAGGCCCCCAGCAGGCTCGAAAGTGGCGACAGTTTCACAGATCGCAGCCCCCAGGGATGGCGAGGTCACATTTGAATCCGCCGCGGTTGCGCACTGTGCTGGGCCCCCAGCAGGCTTCGAGAGTGGCGACAGTTTCACAGATCGCAGCCCCCCAGGGATGGCGAGGTCCCATTTGAATCCGCCGCGGGTGCACACTGTGCTGGGCCCCCCAGCAGGCTTCGAAAGTGGCGACAGTTTCAGATCGCAGGCCCCCAGGGATGGCGAGGTCCCATTTGAATCCGCCGCGGGTGCACACTGTGCTGGGCCCCCCAGCAGGCCCCGAAAGTGGCGACAGTTTCACAGATCGCAGCCCCCCAGGGATGGCGAGGTCCCATTTGAATCCGCCGCGGGTGCACACTTTGCTGGCCCCCCAGCAGGCCTCGAACGTGGCGACAGTTTCACAGATCGCAGCCCCCCAGCTGGCACGCAGTGGCGAGCGAGGCAAAAGGCAAGGGGGAAGAGAGGGACGGGAGGGGGTGGGAGAGAGACGCGCGAGCAGTGCTCTATTCAAAACGAGAACCCAACGCAGGATGGTTGGGAAAAAAAAAACACAGGGAATGGACGTCCGAGCGATGGCCAGGGGTGGACGAGGGACGGGAGAGGCGAGGAGGGAGGAAGGTGCAGGGAGGAGGAGGGCGGAGGGAGGAGGGAGGAGGAACGATCCCGAAGCGCCCCCTGGTGAGAGCGGTGGCGAACTCGTGCCGCTGCCGATTCTCCGCTTCCAGGCCTGCCGAAGGACGTGCTGGAGGGTGACATGGACGCGCTCAAGGATCTCGAGGCGGGGATTGTCGAATCCTGGCGGACGAGCTGGAGGAACCCAGACATTGTCGCGTCGTGAACAAAAGCGCGACCGAACCTTTTTGGCCCCGGGAGCGTCGAAGAACGACTCGGGAGGAAAAGGTTTGCCCTGGGCAGAGGGTCGGGACTTCCCCGCGTGGACAAGGCCAAGACGTCGGAGGTTTTCAGAGACCCGAATCATCAGGGGTAACTCGGGTCAGGGCTACCTCGGGTGCGTTTTGTCGGGAATCCGAGCCCGAGTTGCCCCAGGCCCGAGTTGCCCCGAAGAACTCGGGCGTCGAGAGCCCCAAATCATCAGGGGTAACTCGGGTCAGGGCTAACTCGGGTTCGTTTTGTCGGGAATCCGAACCCGAGTTGCCCCGGGCCCGAGTTACCCCGGATAGCTCGGGCGCCCAAGGTTTGGGGAGAGGGCAGGGCGAGGAGGGGCTTCGGGCTGCAGCACCGATGCCGCCGTGCACCGCCCCTGCCCCGCGCCCCCGCCGGCAGGAATTTGTCGGCACCTCTGCGGGCGCTTCCTTGAAGGAAGAGCGCCCCCTGGCCCTGCCATCGAGGGCCCCGTTTTCTCAACAGGCCCGCCCTCCCCCTCCTCCTCCTCCTCCTCCTCCTCCTCCTCCTCCGCCTCCTCCTCCTCCTCCTCTTCCACTTCCACCTCCTCCTCCTCCTCCTCCTCCTCCTCCTCCTCCTCCTCCCCCTCCTCCTCCTCCTCCTCCCCCTCCTCGTCTTCCTCCTCATCCCTTCCTCCCTTCCTCCTCCTCTTCAGCTCCAAACAAAAACGCCCGGCGAGAGCACCAGCTTGCAGCGCGCGAGGCAAAAGACAGCACAGAAGGCCTGGCAAAACACACGGCCTGCGTCCGTGCAGAGCCGCTGCGGGTGCCTCGGACAGCTGCGCGGCAGCGGCAAGCAGCCTGCAGAAGCGCCCAAGAGCCTCGAGCATGTCCACGGCGTCGCCGCCGCCGCCAGCATCAACAGGTGAGCCACGGAAGATTCGGGCCGAACGAAAGGGGGGGATAGGGAAAGGGGGGGTTAAACAATCTGTTGCATGCAGCTGGTTTCGGCCCCGCCGCCTGGCCCATTCCTCGATATATATATATATATATATATATATATATATATATATATACATATATCGGCGCACCGGGTCCGGGGGGGGGCCCGGGACCCCGACCACAAATGTGGGGCCCTGGGGGGCCCGGAGGCTCGTCGGACCGCCGGACGCCGTCCAAGATCGTTCGCAGGCAGCTTCGGAACGCGCTCCGATGGCTCCAGATGCCTTCCAAGACGCCTGTCATGACACCAAGAAGGTCCCAGAAGCCTCCAAGACGCTCCGAGAGGCAGCCCAAGAGAGGCCCAAGAAGCAAAACTCGTGCCATTCCTATGGGAAAACGTATATTTTTCGCATGTTCGCCTCTTGGGCTTTCGCCGCGTCCAAGACGGCCCAAGAGGCGCCCAAGACCGCCCCAAGACGGCCCAAGAAGCTTCCAAGAGGGCCCCAGGACCCCAAGAGGGCCCCAAGACGGCCCAAGAGGCGCCCAAGATGGCCCAAGAGGGCCCCAAGACGGGCCCAAGAGGGGGCCCAGAGGGGGACCACGAACCGCAAGCTCGAGCCTTCCGCCCCAAGAGGCCGCCAGGAGGCCCCAAGGAGGCCCCTCAAGAGGCCCCAGGAGACCCCCAAGAGGCCAAAAGGAGGCCCCGAGAAGCCCCAAATCGGCCCCCAAAATGCTTCGAACCCGCTTCCAGGAGGCCCCCGACAGGTTCAGAGGCTCCCGAGAAGCTACGTCAAACTCCCAGCGAGCGGCCGGACGAGGCCCCCCACAAAATCACAAGAGGGTTCCAGTATTTGTATCCTTCAGCGCTCGCTGGCCTTCTTCCCCCTGCCCCCTTCCCTGCGACTTCCGTTGACTCAAGCTCGCCTCCTAGCTAGAACCTAAGCGCGCGCGAAGCGCGCCCGTGGTTCTAGTATATATATATATATATATATATATATGTATGTATGTATGTATGTATGTATGTATGTATGTATGTATGTATGTATGTATGTATGTATGTATGTATGTGTGTGTGTGTATGTGTATATATATATATATATATATATATATATATATATAGATGTGTGTGTGTGTGTGCGCCTCCGGCGCCAGGAGGCGCCTGGAAATCAGCTACGTACGCTGATTCTCAAACCCTCCTTTTGCTATCCACCCCTTTGGCCCGGCCCGAAAGATAACGGGATCGTCTGCGTGGGCATCGGCGCGCGAGCGTCCCGTGCAAGGTCCCGCGTGAGCGCTCTCCTCTCCACGCGGTGGGCCACGCTGGGGGCCCTCGTCAGCCGCGGCAGAGGGTCGCTATGCCATCGTGCGCAAGGCCGTAAGACCCGCGTCTGGTGCTTCGGAGATGAGAACTGCATAAACATACCGTGGAGGCCCATGCCAAGAAACACCCTGCTCGTCTCAAGGGGACCCTGGGTTCCTTGGGTATCGATGATTTTCCGATGGCGGGCGCGACGCTCCCGCACCAAAAAGCCAAGTACGTCCAGGGTTTCTGGCGGAAGGCTTCTTGTGGACTGGCCCCCACCTGTACATTGCCGACGGTCCGCGCGGCGTGCCTGCATCGGCGCTGGGACCCCCCCCCCAGGTGTGCGGGCAAGTCCTGGCGTGCGTGACGTCCAGACGGATTCCCTCTCGGGCCTTGCCCCGCTCCCTCCTCCTCCTCCTCCTCCTCCTCCTCCTCCTCCTCCTCCTCCTCTTCCTCCCCGTCCTCCTCTTCCTCCTCCTCCTCCTCCTCCTCCTCCTCCTCCTCCTCCTCCTCTCCTCCTCCCCCTCCTCCTCCCCCTCCTCCCCCTCCTCCCCTTCCCCCCCCTCCCCCCCTCCTCCCACCCTCCGTGATGGCGGCCACCACCCCAGGATTTCGAAGGGGGGAGGTGGAGTTCACTTCGCTCGGGAGGTCCCGAGGGGCTCTCCTGGGCAGTCTCGGGGCCGTGTTGGAGGTCTCTCGGGGAGGCGAGAGGGCGTCTAGGACGCCCTGAAGACCGAGAAGGCGAGCATGCCAAAATGGCACAAACGCAAAAACATCATATGACACATGATGCGCAGGAGGCCGCCAGAGCGACGGCGTCGGCTGCGGCGCCGTCGCTGCGCCGCCGACGCCACCGGCGGCCCTCGCCGCCTCTGGCGGCGGGTAAGCGACGCCGACAAACGGGGTCGTTTTCACGGACGTTCGCTGAGCTGCCCGCGCAATTTCGCGCGTGAGCGCCCTGGTCTCCAGCGCCCTCGTCTCCGCGTGGGGCGTGCCGCGCTGGCGGCCCGCGCAAGCCGCCGCGTCAGGTCGCCACGCCATCGCGCGTATACGGTCGACCCGCATCGTAAGGAGGAGCGACTCTCCAAGGTTCCCCTTGCATCCCTCCCCTTCGGCCCAGGCTTGGCCGCTTCCGCCGGCCGCGCCCCGCCCGCAGAGTGTCGACATGGCCTTCCGAGGCCCTTGCATTCTTGTCGTGCGTCCTTCTTCTACGGGTAAGCTGCAAGACCTGTTTTTCTCGGCTCTCGTGTGCCCCACCGTCGCAGGCCTCGAGGTTAACACCAACACCAAGATCGGCGGTGTTCCTCCACCGAGGGAAGAAGATCCCGATCTCGGTGATGGTGGTAATATTCTGGCTTCCAAGGTGGCCGAAATATTACCACCAACACCGAAATCTAGTATCACCTCCCCCCTGTGGAGGCAGCCCTCTGTCTTTGTGTTGGTGCCCATTTCCAGGCCTCCCACACCGAGCTTCGCACGGCCGGCCCCGCGGACCCCCGCCGGGGAGGCACCCTCATCCCCGCCGCGCCCTCGCCGGCTCCCGTGCGGCAGGACCGTCGTGGCCGGTCGGCGGCGGCGGCGTCGCCGCCGCCGGCGGCGGGTGCCGTAGACGGGCCAACGGCAACGCAGGTACCCAGACCCCCTCGAGTAATGAAAAAATCATGACGGGAGGTTTTTCCTAATTTTCAGCCTCTGGGGCCCCTCACCGGGCCTCGGGAGCGTCAAAAAACGACTCAGGATGCAAAACCCGTCCCGGGGACTGGGTCGAGATCTCTGGGGGTCGACGTCATGAAAAAATCATGACGTCGGGGGTCTGGGTAACGGCGATGTAGGTGTTGGTGGTGTGGGAACACGCGTGGCTCGCGCGCTTCTGCAATTCGTTGTGGCGTGCCCGCTCGATGCGTTCGCAGACTGGAGACGTAGGAAGGTGTGTGGCTCGTGATCTCCTGCACGTTTGGCCCCCAGCATCACGGTCAAAGCAGCAACATTCGGGCCGGACGAACGGAGGGGATTGGGAAAGGGGGGGTTACGAAATCTGCTGCATGCAGCTGGTTTCGGCCTCACCGAGGGGCCCATTCCTCGACACAGAGCCGCCTCCGGCGCCAGGGAAATCAGCTACGTGAGCTGATTCTCAAACCCCCCCTTTGCTATCCCCCCCCCTTTCGCCCGACCCGAAACATCTCCACTGGCCCAGCCTTGGAGGTGTCCTTCGAGTTCTACATGAGCGAGGAGGGGAAGCCCCGCGCGCGGGACATCGTCCGCAAGGAGGACGGGCCGCCCGACGACGGGCCGATCCCCGAAGGCGGGCGGGGGGCCCGCGGGCCGAGCACCGCAGGCCGGCGACGGCGGCGACGTCGACGACGGCGTCGACTTCGACGACGACGACGAACGACGACGACGAAAGACGACGACGACGACGTCGACTTCGAGGACGACGACGAACGACGACGTCGACTTCGACGGCGACTGGAATCGGCTCGGGGGCCTGCCCCCCTACTGGGGGATTTTCAAGGAAAAAATACCCCCAAATGCCCCCCAAAGGTTAAGAACAAATACTGAAAAAATAGTCCCCAGACTATTTCTGGTATCGACGACAATCCCCCAAAGGGGTATTTTTTAATTTTTCGGGACTGGGGTATTTTCTATGTTTCGTCGAAAATCCCCCTGTAACGGGGGACACGCCCGCCTTACGACGAACGACGACGTCGACTTCGACGGCGACTGGAATCGGCTCGCCTATAGCCCTACCAAACAATGTTCTAAGAACCTTTTGTGGTTTCCACGAAATGTTCTTAGAACCTTTCTGGCGGAGTCTGTCTTCTTTTAACACCTCGGTTTTAAGTTCTAAGAACATTGTTTTTGTTCTTGGAACATAAACCCGATGACGACGACGACGAACGTTAAGTCGGGCCTGTCCCCCTACAGGGGGATTTCCAACGACAAATACCCCAAAAACGCTTCCAAAAGGTTCAACACATGCTGAAAACATAGTCCCCAGGCTATTTCTGGTATCGACGACAATCCCCCAAAGGGGTATTTTTTATTCTTCGGACTGGGGTATTTTTGTATTTTTCGTCGAAAATCCCCCTGTAACGGGGGACACGCCCGACTTACGACGAACGACGACGGCGACTTCGACGGCGACTGGAATCGGCTCGGGGGCCGAGGTGGCCCAGCACCGGTTCCGGACAGCAGTGAGGGGGGGAGGAGCTGCGAGGCTCGGGGCCCGAGGCGTGCTCGTCGCCTCGAGTTCGGGCGCCGGGGCCCGTACGTGCTGGCCCCGTGGCCGTCAGAAACGGATCTGGGGTGAGCAACTGCTCCAGACCCAGACCCCCTCGAGTAATGAAAAAATCATGACGGGAGGTTTTTCCTAATTTTCAGACTCTGGGGCCCCTCACCGGGCCTCGGGAGCATCAAAAAACGACTCAGGATGCAAAACCCGTCCCGGGGAATGGGTCGAGATCTCTGGGGGTCGACGTCATGAAAAAGTCATGACGTCGGGGGTCTGGGGATGGACTTCTGGGGGAGATAAGGTGTTATTGCGGCCCGTTGGTTGTTACTGCGGCCCGGTGGGTGTCAGTAAGGCCAGGGGTCCTCCAGAGTGCATTAATTATCGGGTACGGATCTAACATGAGGTACCTTTACACATTACTTTTCATTGAGCGGCCTGCGCGGGCCACAGTAACTCCCATCCCGCCGCGCGACGGGCCACACTAACACCCAACGGGCCACACGAACACCCAACGGGCAACAGTAACAACCGGTCGCCTTCT